CTACGATTCATTGCACCCACTCGTGGCAGGTCCTTACTCAATGCGTCGACGAGCCATTCAATTTTTAATTGAGTTTTCACAATACGTGTACGTCAGCGGCTCGTTTCAGTGCGCCTGGAAGAGTCCATTGGATATTCGAAATAAAAAATAAAAATTTTCCCAATCCGAAAATCCTTCTATGAACCATTCATACGTTGTCTCTGTATGATAAAATATTTTCGACTTTAACAACAGTGCTATTTACTTTCCAAAACATTTAACATCGAATCATTCACAATTTCCATCGGTAGTCTCATAAAATTGTAATTGAGTTTATTTCATGCGTAATTTATAAGATCAGAAACTTGATGAATTGCGTTTTAAACCTCGTAGCATAGAAGTGAATGGGTTCATACAGGAACAGGGATCCAATTCAGATCCATATATTGTTGGATTTTCTATTAAGTTGGCTTCGCCAATTTCATTAATGTAATGTAGAAGTTCTTATTGTGAGGTCTTTCCTCCTTCTGTAAATAGGAACTCATTATCTCAAACCTAAATATAGTAACTGCAATCAAGATAATGCTCGTCATGTTTCGTGTTCATTAAGACAATGCATTACAGTTTACCTTGAGATCCGGCACACACTCATAGTCATTCACGTAATATATGAAGAACGGCGGTGAGTGTACGCAAGGGACATCTCACACTAATCAATGATGATGGCCGTCGATGATACCTTCACCAAGGACTCTCACTGACGAGGCTGGCTGTTGATTAAGTCCAGGGGGCTGGTTGTCTACAAATGAAAATCCCTCTGGTGTCATCGGATAACTGATGACTAGCTAGTAAACTAAACCGACCAGCAATTTTCACCGCTAGAATTCGAGGGGAAATTCAGGAGGGCTTCTAGTAATACGACCAGGACAATGGTTTCCTCATAACCGAATCCTACGTTGTCAGCATCACCGCAAGTTAGCTGGATTCTGGTTTTAGCGTTTGCCCACCACACAACACTGGCCCATGCACTAATGATGAATGCAGATTCTCGTGAAATAAAATATCCTTCTCTTGAGAATGCAGTCAGAGAAGTATTCCGTAAAAATTACTGAAAAATTCATCCAATATGACCAATTGTCCAAATCGTCCAGTGATTTTTAAAGGAACCATAAAATATAAATTTCATTCTTTCATACATAATTATACTGTATGTGATAGAACACTGAGAAAAAAAATTATCTTTACCAAGAATATTCTCTTCCCACCATTAATCTGGTGATGACTGTGTAATTACTCCCATAAGACTTACTAATGCCAAATATATTTTCTTGTTGTCAGTAAATATTCTTGACTAAAAGAATTTTTTTTTCTCAGTGAAGAGTCATTCCCTGCTTGTTATCATTTATAAACAATCTCCTGATGTGTTCCGGTCAGCTATTCATTCATAATTATTGTTAATGCATCCCCAGCAGTACATTTTCCCTCGAGGAAGAGAAAAAAATGTTTTTCCATCCGAAACAAACGTGGAGACCTTGTCCTTGCAACATGACAGTGTGCTGTTAATGCACTCCGTATAGTACCACCGCCATTATCCGTTTTTCCTCACACTTTTCAAACGAGGTAGTGGTGGGTATAAACAACGTGATCCTCATATATTTTTTATTGTCCTATATTTTTTATCATTACCTAACTGCCAATCTTTTCGTCGTAATTTCATCTTCAATACTTCTTTCCACCTCTGCCGCCATTTGTTTTTCACTAGCGCTTGGCAGACTGGCTTCACTTAATAAAGCCCTATGTCCTATAGAATGTTCGAGTTGTTCTATCAACTCCTCCAGATTATTCATACTCATCTTCAAAAGTTGACAACAATGGACTTGAAACGCTGGAGGCTGACCAATTAATCGCAAATATTATGAAAACTCAAGTTTTCGCAGATCAATCTCTGGAGCAGTGGTGCAGTAATGGGTGGATGAAATAAAAATGAAAGGCATGAAAATTTATGGGTGGAGCTGCAGAATTATCGTAGTTAACATGAAAGAGCTGCATGCCAGAACGAAAGCTCTTAGCGCGTCGTCATTGGTTAGTCCGCTAACTACACGAATGGGCTGTAATGGAATCTGACAATTTGAGAGATACTTACTATGAGGTGAAACATAATTATTCACTCATGTCCGTATTAACTGCTGGATCTGCTAGCGGACTACGAGCACAGAAATTGGTCGATTAATTGTTCAAATAGAGCTTCAGTGAATTTTACTCCTGCAGAATCGATCTTGATAATTGAAGAAATATTCAGACTTTTATTACATTATCGCTCCATTTTATGTCGAATTTCCATTCCACTGTAATCACTATAGAATCAATAGCTTTGGTACGGACAAATGTAGGCGTCATATTTATCAGGTCGATAATTTAAAAACGCAAAGCGGAACTGTCAATTGCGATACTGGATTTGATTTTTTTTACAGTGAAAATTTCAGTCTGTAGTATTGCATTTTTTGGAACGATGAAACTCAAATCGATGAAATTTCATTATTAAAAAAAAATTATTTATTATACACAATTATACAGCTATTAAGGACAATTGAAATGCAATTAGATTGTATTTTAATCATTTGCGGTGCTTATTAACCTAGTTTCTAGTAACGACCCAAGATTAGTATAATTCATATCAAATAATTGTTTTATCCAATTGAAGAATTGCTTACACCTAGCTAATTACACCCTCAATCTTTTTTAATCTTCAGAGAATCGTAAATAGCGGATTTTCGATATTTCCACGTTAATTTCTTGAATTACATCATGTTTACATAATGCCTGAAAGCTTCCTCCAGCTTTCAATCTCTCGGTCCTCTCCCATCCTGAAATAAACAATGCGACGACTATCGATTATGCTGATAGAATGACGATTTGTATTCAACGTATTCGTGATAGTTGAGGGGTAAAGCAGCAAAGAGGAATGGGGTACAAGAGCGATTCGAGATTCCCCAATGCGACTATTGGGGGCATTTATGCGAATAAGAAGACGATGATAATAGCATTGATAGCGAATTTGTAGGGATTGAGAACTTGCAACATTCGCCAGAATGCTTTCAACGTCATACCATTGACGTATTTGATATAACTGTACCGATAAAAAAACACAGGAATGCCTGTGATAAATTCGGTTCAATCAAATTCCATACCTATCAGCGAATACTAAAACCCACAGTGCGTAAAAATCAATACAAAAATCCGTTTAAGAATTCCTGAAATTTTTTGTGATTTTAGAACAGGGAGAAAAAGACTCGAAAAATTACGGTATTATGACGTAACCGTTGACCTAGGTTCTCGGTGAAAAGCCCCAAAAATTCCGTAAAAATCATCCTAACGAGCAGGATCTTTTACGAAAATTTCTGGATAAACTGGTAGACTTTATGGGATACAGAGTGATTAAAGTTTTCTAAGGGGTAATTATTTTGAAAAATTTCGGGTCGTCAAAGAGCGAACGTCAAGCGAGCGTAACGCTTCGGTCTAATGGCCTCCACTCAAGATGCAATATCGCGGCCATGAATATTGTATGGGCCCTCGTACTAACGTAGCCGCATCTTCCGGCTACCGCCCACCGTTCCCCCTTCAATTTACCCCCCGGTATGCAACCCCCGTCTAGCAACGATGTTCCACCTTTTCACCCCCAACTCATACCCTCGATATATCTCTGGAGCTGGGCGTTTTCTCTCTTCCTTCCGCTGTCTGGTGATGGGCCTGCAAATGTGTACCAACGGAAACGACCGAACTTACGTACCACTCTTGGCTATGATTATTTTAACCTGCACTCACTAAAATTGGCCACATCCACTTCTACTTCTCTTCTTTTTCCTTTTTTTTTTCATGCACTGTAGTGAACGTATGGACGACTTTTCCTACATTCATACATTCCTTTGCAAGTGAACTCGACATCACCCCCGAAATTGCCACTTCCACGCGTCCTCTCATGTCGTTTCACCAGGCATAAAATGACTTTTCACAGATATCTATACATTTCCGTCTTTCAAATTGTGAGCTCACAAAATCGACTGGGAATTGACGAGTATTGGCAATGGTAATGTCCTGGGTAATACAACTTTTCGATTTTCTAGAGAAATTTAACACCATTCCAGGCACCTTCTATTACTAGGAAATTGGCTCAGTAACGGAGTTGGGGACGACATATATCTGTGAAAAAACATTAGAAGCTATTGAAAGATAAAGGTGGATTTCGTACAAAATTAAGAATGTTCACAATTAATTAATTTATCCACAACGAAATTGGAGAATTCCCCCCCACAAAATTGTCAAAGTATTGGCTTTAGGAAAAAGCATATACCTGTGCAGCCAGAAACACTCGGTAACTGTTCTGCTAAAGTAATTTCAAAGTGGCAAACTGTCAAGGACTTTTCCACCCAGAATATACGCTCTCCTCTGTATCTCCCAGCGAATATTGCCACTTGCTTTGTTGTGCATTCACTCTCTGCGTTTCCAACTGTCTCTCTCATGAGAATTCGAAAGCCTCATGTCACTAGATGTTCCAACTCCAGGGTGCTTAAAAAAAGAGGTCAAACATTGATTGTGTATTGCATTGAGAACTATGTTAATATGTGCAAGCCTCTAGGTAGAAAACAGTGTGGTAATGCCCGTGAACGTTGTATTGGTTTATCGCATATTCCCTGCGCCTGCGGTCGCCTCATTACCTATGGATCAGCGGAACATAATGCCTGGCGAGGAATTCAAAAAAAAGGGACGAAACAATGGATGGATGTGTCGATGCAGAGAATATATCAAGAAAATATAGCCTAGTGGATCACATTGTAGAATCGATCTCGTCGTTGCCTGGAGCTCTGAACAAAATTATTAAGTAGTACCTTTTTTATTCCTCCGGTAAACACATTTTCACATAATCCGTGGCATAAAAAAATAAAAACATTGAAGTTGCTAGTTCATCTCGGGAGGAATTGCACGCCAACTTTTCTTATCTGAAACAGTAAAATTTCATGTTCTAGACATACCAACACCCTCATGCACCCGTGTGAGGTACAACAGTCTTGCTGAGGTGACATCGAAGGAGTTGGGCTTTAGTCAGCTGAGCTTCAGTGAACTGGATTTTACACCCCTAGTTGTGTCTAAAATGAGGTGAGTTCCCACAAATAATGCCAAACATACACCCCAATTAAATTCTAGTCATCGACATTTCCGGGTTATATGTCCCAAGTCCGAAGGCATGTTTAATGCGAGAACATGGGTTAACATTAATGAACATTCAAATGCTCCTATGAATTTGGGATTATCGATGGAAACATTATTTATGGCTTGCAGTATCCGCTTCAATGTTCATTTAATTAATAATTTCAGATTTCATCTATTCACTATTTTATTACCATTTTGTTAGCTGGGGTAAACAATTTGCGTGGATTAATATGGAGATACTTCATAAGCCCCATAATCGTGGAATAGAAAATACTGTGAAGAAAAATGAAACGAGTTTACACTCAATTTAGTTTGTCAATTAGTCACTTGCAGCATTTGTGGATTGATGCCAGTCGAAAAGACCAAAAGGGCAGGATGTGCTCAGCATCTATTCTCTATAATGGGGTAAGGGAGTGAAAATGCCAAGTGGGTGTTAGCAAAGTTGTTGAAAGCCCCCCGGCTTATTACAAGCATATCTTCTTATTGGAGCCAAACCCTTCATTACGAGAAAACCTGATATTTGTCCAGTACCAGAGACCACTTTAATTCTAACACCCAAAAAGCTTTATTGCCTTCCGCATGAACATCCTGTCTAATTTCATCATTTTTTTATTAAACAACTGCATTAATCAATGAAAATATTTTATTCTCTCCGCGAAGTTTTATTCGTACACAGAATAGAACAGAAGAAAATAGAATAGAAAATTATTCCGACCGCGCAACGAAGCCTTAAAACGAGGTCTGTTAATTATCATCTCGAATTTGAAACCTCGAAAATGATCACTCATTGATTTTATCATCGAATCTGGAAGCCATTAGCACCATGAATGTTAATCTATTTTCCTTCATTTTCCCATGATAAATAATCCAAACAAGTATATCAGGACTTCATTGAAAATTACAATGATTTGTCACAAATGAATGTATGAATGACTCATCACTATACGAACATATAATTTCTCACTGCACAACATTCAAAGTTTTGACCCATTTAATAAAATATTAAATTCACTTGAAACAAAAAGCTAGACTACCGGAAAATTTCAATTAAAAATGATATTTAAACAATTGTCCTCGTTTAACCGGAATATACATGTGAATGGAAAAGTAGGAGAGAAGGGTGGGAGCCAGTGAAGCATTGAAATCGATTCGAGTTGGAACTGGCTGTGCCCTGTACATAGCGTTTCAGCGGTTTCCCGGTAATCGGAAACCAGCTAATTGCAAAGCTCGGATTTCGACTCCGATAAAATCAAAAAGTGAGAGGAAAATAGAGAAAAAGAGAGAGAGAAACTGAATTACAATCCACTGAACCATCATTTCTACCTCCACAACAATTATAGATGCTTACCTGGTGGAGAGATGAGTGGACTAGACTGATTTTATCAAACGTTGACACGCTGACAATTCAACGACATCTCACCTGTTGCACCCAGTCGACAGTGATACTCAGTAATGTCGTCGTCTTCTGCATTATTAAAAAAGAAAGTGAGTGGAGAGCATCCCTCTTCTTCTGGCAGAGGAGGAATTAATTCCCATCGCGTTCAACTCGGGATTACCCCGTCTTTATTAGGAGAATACTTCTTTCAAGGGATAAATATAAAGGAATAGCGACACGAGCGCATCGATGTATCGAATTTAAAGTATTTTCTTGGATACTTTCCACTTCGATTCCTAGCATCGTCAATAATGGTCCAATAATAATACGATTCATCGATAATTATAATCAGGATCCATTAAGAACGGTCATATATAATTTTTAAAAATAATTTTCTTTTGTTGTAAAAGAGTTAGGGTTGATATTTATTATTATTTTCGATATTTCCGTCATCCGATTCAGATACATTCAGCTTGATCAAATCCGGAACCGTTAAACTGGATCAGAAAAGTTTGATCAAGTCTTGATTTAAATTAGCGTTACATCTCTGATCACGATTTCATCCAGTTACCATGTCATTTCCGGATCAATCATCAAGTCTGACTTGATCCAGTCTTAATTAGAACCTGACCAGAATTTTCACTCGGTGTTTTCTAACAATATATGAATTATCACTCCAATTATACGACTAAAGGTGTACAATTCTGTCTTTCTCGATATTTTTTGGATCTCTCAAAGTTTAATTTTCGCCTCATTCTAACTTGTGCACACTGTTTTCTCATTTCGCTGTCAGATGACAGGCAATTTTTCCCCGGTGATTGCATTTGCAATTCCGATGGGAAACATGCGCTTACGGCTTTTCTTAGGATAAAAAAAAATCTCAGAGAATGGTATACACAACCGAGAGCTTTCGTCGTCGGTGTTGTGGCACGTGCAGCAGTATATATCCACATAGTAAATATATAGGTATAAACTGAAGCTAGAAATTTGTTTCTCGTGCGTCCCAGTAGACACGGAATGGTGGGCTGACGGAGTTGGATAACCACGAGTCATTTAAATAATTCAATTCAGTGTTGTACCTTCTCGAATGTACAGAATACAGTGTAATAGATGGTGCAAACAATCCACAAAAATTCCGTATATATCCAACCAATCTTTCGAGTGAAATTTATTTATTTCTCAAGGATAATGAGATCCATTAGCCAAGAGTCCATGACCTGCTTTCATAGTAAATTTCTGTTCCCTGAAATACATGAAGACGAAGTTGAAACATTATTCTGGTTCCTTAAGAAGCAATTAATTTCATTTACGCCATACCGCGGGAGAGATTTTACTCTAAAGAGGGAAAGAGAAATAGAAAATGGGTATCGGAATCAACGAGAGTGGTGTGCTTTTGAATGAAAGTGCTTTTCACCGAAATTCGATCACCTTCACGTTTTTTCTATTTTTTTTTCCTCTCCCCTCCAAGTTTTAGTACTATTTTCGTTCTCCATACCTGAATATCCATTTGATCCGAGAAATTGAATTAGCTTCAAACTAATCAACAAACAGGAACCCACGAATAACAGTCTTCCTCCTACTTCTCTTGGAATATTTATCTATGTTAAAAAAATAGTGGAAAAATCATACAGTCAGTGGAGCGTCTTGAATTGGTGAATTTTTTTCATTGACACGTGAACCCCCAGGTGTTGCCACCTGGAAACGTCAACAATGGCGTATGTCACAGCGACGTTCAGTGCAGTAGAGTAATAATGATCAGCCAAGGAAATGGTAACTCAAGAATAACTGAATTATACAGCAACAAAAAAACTCCATTATTTATTCACTTCCCCTTACGCGAATCGATATCACAGAGAGCAATTTCTGCTTGATATAACTGGTAAAATCAAAAGGACTATTGAACTCCATTTGCCTAAACACGAAATCGGTTAATGAAAAACTTGCAAATTTTATATGCACTCGGTTGAATATTGAATAGGTTATTTGATCATATCTGAAAACTCAATGGAATTTCATGCCAGTATGACAGGTCATCCATTGAATTCTCATAGTATATATTAAATAAAAAATGACCACCTATCACGGTGAGAGATTGCTTCCGTACACGGCCATCAACCTATCATAAAAGTAGACGAAAAAAAAGACTGGTATTCGCTGCATTCTCGCGTTAACGGAGGAATTACGCGGTATTAAAATTGGCGAGCGTGTTTAATCAAATTACAGAGATAGAGCTGAATGAAAAATCTCCCCGCTCCATACAGCTGTTTTTTTATTTTATTCCACCTACTCCTCTTCTCGCCGCCATTAATTATTCAGGTGGAAATCATTGGAATACGTCGAAAAATTAGCTCGCACCTCACCTATCCTGGACCACATACTGAAGATTTGATTGTCGGAAACACAGCCCGGTTTTTTTTCTCTCTCTTTCTGTCATTTTTTTCCTCGCTATTGATTTTGCACCACCCCCGGACGCCATATGCCACTGGAAACGGATTTTTAATTAAACCCGGCGACAAGAGAGTATGGAACAAAATAATTAATTACCCTTCGTGATTAAACAAACAAAACACAGAGTATCATTGAATAGTATTTTTTTTCAATCTTATAGCATGTCTTGAAATGCATCGCTGATAAAACTTTCAATAGAAAATTTTCTGACAATGAGTGTTTCACGCCAACTTAGTGTGAGAGGAAAAGCAGCAGGGAGGATCCATTGGAAGCAGAAAAAAAGAATAAAGGGGGTGAAGTCGCGGATCTCATGGTCTAGTTTATGTGCAGTATATGGGGTGAAGAAAGGATGAGAGAGATATTCGTAGGTGAGAGAGTAACCAACGCATTTCTCTTCGCTTTTCGCTCTGCCATTCACCCGGGAACTCCACCATAGCCGACGAACTGTAGACAATACGATCACCCTAACAATAACAGCACCAGGAACCCGGCAAGATAATGTTTTTGAGAGTGAGAGAATAAACGTTTACAAGAACGGGGAAAATGTGGGACTATGAAATGGAAATTCCAGTAGATTATTTTTTTTTTCAATTTCAATGTAGTCATCAGAATGATCAGTCGTTATTTTTGTTGGGGAATCTCGATGATGCCAATAACCCAGGCTGAGTACACCCGGAATGATGTGAAATAGGGCAATACTGTCGCGTATTTATCCAGAAATACTATGGAAATGCGCTTCTCCCACAGTCCCTTTTACTACCAGAGATTTTCTAGGGACATGAAATCCTTCGAGAAGGATCATCTTGACGCTAGATTTAATCCCACTCAGGGCGCATGGTACAGCTCTTCAAAAGTAAAATAACGATATTTATCATGCTAGCATATTTTATGACTGTCATGAATGTTATGCTTTGAAGCGGAGATTGCAGCAGGCTGGAGTTTTGTTGGAAAATGTTGAGCATTCACAGATTTTGCAAAACCTTCTCCTTGTAATCCATCACGAGTGCCACACCGAGGTACAAAAGCATTGCATTAATCGTCCAGCACTCTGAAACGCCCGATGGCTATAATTTTCATGAAAAAGGTTGAAACGACAATCCAATAATAATTCAATTATCGGATC